ATGTCTCTGCCAATCTTTATTATTAAAATGAATCCCAACTTTTAGCATGCGTTACATCGCACCTGTTTTAGGTGGCTTGACGAATGACCCTGTGGAAAAGATCAAATTCATGAAATCATTTTTGTGCCTCAATAGCATGCCCCTAAATAGTTAAATATGTTAATTACAAAATGATAATTATGTTAATTACCATTTATGGTACATTTCAGTACCATAATATGTAAAGGAAATTTCATTAACCTGTCCCGAGGCCTCCGGTGCCTAATCCACCAGTACCAAGTCCTCCTGTACCAAGCCCTGCACCACCAGGCCCAACTCCCCCAAGCCCTGCACCCAGTCCAGCACCTTGCCCCCCAGCACCACCACCTCCAAAGCCTATTACAAGTTAGACAAGTAAATATTAATTTAATCAAACTTAAAATGACTAGTTAGGAGAAATTTAGCCACTCACTTCCTGTCTTTCCTGGTTTGAAACCAAGTATTCCTCCAACTCCTGGTAAGTAAATAAGTTAACAAATAAAATTATTGTATTAGATACATAATACAATACAATACATAATACATAATACAATATTCTTTATTAGTTGCTAATTTATTAAAGATTATTATAGTACTGATATGGAAGCTATGGACATTAATTGCACATTAAATGTTTAAGAATAAATGTAAATTATCACCAGTTCCAGGTCTGATTCCAGTTCCTGGCCCTATTCCAAGACCACCTGGACCTAATCCTGTTCCAACTCCTCCAGGACCAACTCCTGGCCCAACACTTCCGATTCCCGCACCAAATCCTCCTCCTGGGCCTGTTCCAGCACCAAGTCCAGCTCCAGTTCCAAGACCACCCCCTAATCCAGCTCCAGTTCCTCCCCCTGCACCAGCTGGTATGTAGATTCCTGAGAGAGAAAGTGAACATTAATAAATTCCTTTATTAATGTGTCCTGTTCATGATAGCATGCCAGATAAAGAAATAACCAAGCATTTAGTTGTGTGTTCTTGTATGTATTTGAGAAACCTGAAGAGGAGAATAAAGAGAATATTTTCTAAAACATTATTACATTGAACATAGAGTAGATATTATCACATTTCTGCGAACATCACTGTTTGCACTGCAAACCCATACTTCTTTTATTAGACGATGCATATTAGGATCTAACTACTGCAACACATTACCAGTTTATGAGGACCATTCCATCCTTTACTCAGCGATGATGCCACTTACCCAGGGGGTTCTAACTAATCTTGCATCTAGTCTTTCATGTGAAG